AGCTTTGCATAGGCAGTAGTGACCGTTCACCCCGACACCACACACAGAACACGTGTAGTTGATACTCTTTATATGAAAACAACAGTACCCCTCAGTCCTACATCTCCTACCACAGACCTCGGTCTTCCCCATAAGTATGTACTGACATTGGTACGGGGCAGGTCTCATCTTTGGTATACTTATATCAGTACTTAGTCTAATTTTTCGCAATCAACACAGTCACTGCTAGACCCAGCGCGATAAAGATCATTTCCCGGTCCATTTGCACCGGGGATGGTGTGTAGTACTGAGCAAATGTGGGCTGATAGAGTCATTCTAGCTGTTTACTGGTTAGTAGGTAGTATTCTCTCGCTGCGTCGTCGACATCATGGAATGCTTTAACGGCATGGTTCTCACGCCTGAGTTGTTTGTTAATGTAACGTTTCTTTGCGTAGTCGGCTTGGGCTGCTTGTAATTTCTCAACAGCCAGGTCATGGCGCTTATGCTCAGCTTGTATCTCAGCCGTGTGTGACACCCGTAATTTCGAGAAGAGGAAATTACTCCCGGAAAATGCAAGGGCGTTTACTAACGCCCCGCCAACCATCATGGCGATTGTAGCCATCCTGTATATAGTTACATTTACTTCAAAATATTTTCCGGTAGGATCCCTTGTTTTACTAGGATGTCCTTGGTGACCATCGCCATACCAAGGTTCATTATGAGCATACCCATATCCTGCAGGTTGAAATCTAGCTTGATAGTCGGTTGTTTAAGCACCATTTTGGTCAACCGAGCGTACCCTACAGCTAGACTGGCGACCACGGTGGCGTGGTATGCGTCGTTGACGAACGTTTTCCCCTCAGACATTATGTATATGATATAAAAATATATATAATAAAATAATTGTGGGGGCTCCCGAGAAGGTTTCCCTCCATGAGTGGTTGTTTATTATATAACCATGAGATAGCCACGGCAGCAGTTGCACCTGCAATCAACAGGAGTGGAGCCCGGCTCCATGTGTTACTCTTATGCTGGTTTGACCACCTTTTTTTACCGGCAGCTACTCTCTTAGGGTTCTTCTGCCTGGTGACTGTAGGGGTCACCTCGGGAGGGTTCACCTCCAGTTGGGGTCTCCTCTGAAGGGGTCACCTCCAGTTTGGGTGGGTTCACCTCCTATTATTATTACTTTTCCCCTCCTTAAATTGGCAATGCTTTGCTGTGATAATCGCCGCTGGGGTTAAAAACATACCGTATTTGTGGTACAGCACGCAGCTGATAGAGCTCAAGGCTAGTTCAATAAAAGGGTCTTTCTCGAGATCCTCCCACAGGTAAAGTCAGCGTTCCTGGGGAATGGGAAGGAAGTACGATGCTAAACCAGTGTAGATCTGGGTCATAGCCGATCCTATAGTCTTTGTCATCTCGGCCCGGAGTCTAGCCTCGTATCTCGGCGGACATTTTGTGAATTTTATAGGGAGTGTAGTCCCCAAAGTAATGTTTGGCTTTGCCACCAACAGCCAGCACCACCAGTCTCTCTCGCTTATCATCATCCCCTCGCTTATCATCGTCCCCTCGCTTATCCCCCTCCAACACTTGTTCTAGCAATTCATCACACTCCATCTTATAATGTAATAAGTAAGTTTTAGTTTTAATAATATAATACCCGATGCAGGTGAAAAACAGCAAAATGAAGGTTAAGTTGGACACGGCTATCACTTCAAATACAACCATCGTATAGAACTGTAACAATTAATTGCTAAGCGCTAATGGGTGTATATACTCTAACATGTACGTAACACTTCCACGAATAACGAGCGACGAGGCCGTTCAGCTGATACACGCGATCGATAACACGTCGGGTCAACTCGAAGTCGCACTCTGCGATATCACCTACCTACCTTGATGGACCAACATCAACGTCAACAACAACAAGCTGTTCGTCAGTGGCGCCCGCAACCAGATAACTGACAGCGTGTGCTCGCTAAGCGACGAGGTCTTCAAACCCTTGGGAGCCGAACTCAAGATCAACGACTCAAACGGCACAGTGGTGTTAAACAACAACAGAATAAACCCCTTGAGGCTCGGCCGGCCATTGGCGAGAACACTCGGTATGCCGCTGGACGAGATAAAACCAAGACACGATATCACTCACCAAGATCTTCCTACCCAACAACATACACTTCATGGGGGTGAATTGCACCCCTGAGAAATTATCAGAAAAACAATTGGAAACTATCTCGTAATAGTAATATATCAATGTCCAATCATCGTCCCAACGCCACACTTAACGATCTAGGAGACACGGAGGGATTCAATCAGCCTGGCAAGGAAGACACCTCGTACGTCTTACACTTAAGAAACGTCGTGTATATGCGGCAACCTCTGGCAGACGTCCTTAGAGAGCCCAAATGGTTGATCAACATGACCCTCACCGCACCTTTAATTTAGTTAAACAAAGATGGGCATATCTCCGAAATTAGGAACAACGGTAGTAGTGTTATGGGGTTCTCTATACCGACATTTCCCTATGGAGATTTAACATAGCCCGACTTACTTTTGTAAATGAGGGCAAACACTCTTTGACGTCATTTCATGCCTCGGAGTTATGCTCGGAACACAAGATCACTCGAACGTATCATCGAACATAAGATCACCAGAACGTGATGAGAACAAATACACTGACCTTATTTCCCACACCTTTTATCAGAACTAACGAACCTAATCGACCCCCCATCGGAATAACATCCAATATTCTCCAAGCGATAGATAATTGTAATTCTCCCTGTTGGAATGACCATTACATCATCAGTGTTAATTGTCCGCTTGGTAGTCGGTACTAACACTTACATCATCAGTGTTAATTATCCGCTTGGTAGTCGGTACTAACACTTACATCATCAGTGTTAATTATCCGCTTGGTAGTTGGCACTAACACGAGGTGTTTACTCCACCCGCGGATGTGTATCGAGGTAATAATTTCATCAGTGAGTTAACGCCAACGAGTACTACCACGGTTTAGTGAAATAATCAGAGCGAGAGAGTCCTTGATTGTTTCACCATCTTGATTACTGAAAATCACTCACACTCGGAGACGCGTTCCCCGATGAGGGATAATATTGTATTAAAGGAGCCCTTCAAGAGGAAGGGCTTTGTTCTGGTTGTTTGTTTCTTCTTTATTGATTATTGTTTTGGATTGTATAGTCATTGTCACGTTATGATTGTTGAGTGGTGGAAAAGGTAACCTCTTCATTGTTGTAGCGTTTGTGGAGATTTCTGTGATATTCAGAATCTGTTCTTTCGTAGCATTTAAAGGAACAGTGACTGCATTGATAAATTGTTCTCACAGCAGTCGAACTATAAATTTTGCGACACTGCACCGGTCGAAACTCTAGTAAATGTTCGAGAGTCATGAACCAAGGTTTGGATAACTCATCATCGTCGGATGTATCTCCCGACAGAATCAGCCTCGCATGCATCGGGTTTCTTACTCGATGCAGACATCTTCACCCCACGATTGAGCATCGTCTACGCGACCAAGGGTTTAGTTAAGTGTCTTATATATCACACAATCTATATTCTTTTCAAACAAGATGCATCGAACTGAAGTTGAATTGAGTCCTAAACAACACACTGTTCATTCAACCATTGTGTCCCTTCGTTCGCGCACCACTCGTTTCATCTACTGATGTTGACCCCGATCAGTTCGACGAACGCAAATGTGCGAACACAATAACAATCAAGTGGTTTATTTTTTTTTTATTATATCGCTCAATGTAAAAACCCCACCAACAACACCTGTCAAAGCGGAGTTGAATTTAGTCGTAAATACCACACTGTTCTTTCATTCGCACTCTCGTTTTATCCATTGATACTGATCCAGTTTTCCATGTTGTGAATTTAGGCGTAACAATATTTCCACACTCGCGCGTCGTTTCACCAACACACCGTATCACTTAGAGACGTGGTCAACGTGTATTCACCGCAAATAGTATATATATATAGGTAAATAATATTATCGGTATGAGTGTCGATGTTATCACAAGATATCCTACAGTATGATCTATTGTTTCACCATACCATTCAACCGCTAGATGATCACCAAACATTAAAGAACAATACGCATCCGAATAACATATCATTCCCAACACTCTCACATTACACCAACACATAAAGAATGATATAAGAAGGGATCAACCAATGAATGCAGGATACACCCGTAATGAGATCACCGCGGGGTCTAATGACCAATCAGAGAGGTGATAATGACGTAACTAATGAACTGGACTCAGGTCACGACCCCACATCGTTATCTGCCGCGGACCATTGAGCCACTCACCACTGATCACCGTTAGACACCAACCTCACCAATGGAATCGTTAAGTGTTATTGTTGTTTTGGTTTTGAGCGTTGTGCTTTCACACTTGCTAGACATTCCTAAACGATGCGTGATCCGTCATCAGAATTTCATGCAGTGCTTCGGCACCGGATCCCGCAACCTGGTGGGTGGATACCACCCCGCGGTTGTGTGCGTGCGCGGAGCGGTCAAGGGTGGGATTCCCCGTTCAGGATCGACGGCCGAGCCTACCCCGGGTTGAGGTATGTCGAGCTCTCAAATTCTCACATCACTTGCGAAGACATCGTGAGACCACCATTCATCACGATCAACATCCTTCACAGAGATGTGTGTCAATCGGTGAGTGTTTATGATTATTAACGCACCTCGATGTTTATGATTCGATCTTGTCTTAATAGTGGATACATCATATCAGATAATATTAATTATTCACAGACAACGGACTTACCGTCAGCTCCGCAGAGGAAGACCACTTCACCATCTTCATCCCTCCATTAAACACTCACCTCAACCACTCAAACCACTCTTGATTCTTCCCACACTCCATCTGGTTGGTATTGATCGTTTATTATGTGATGGTGATTGTTTATTATTATTATGTGATGTTGTAAGACGATATTCAACCAACCTCGACTGTTGTTTACTCGTATCAATTTCTTAACAGACTCAAACCGAAGGCAAACTGAAGACACCACTGATAAAGAACACACCCACACCACCACTATCAACGAACGGCTCTCAACCACCACCGAAGCACTCATCGACGGTAAATATCGAGTTTATTGAGTTTCCGAATTAAGTTCGTATATAGTGTATATATATATATGATGATATATATATATTATATATGATGATGATGATTTTATGCTTCCAGTTACAAATTCCACCCCAACCGGTGTTATTACTGCTATGTTCACCGCCAGCCGCATCACCGTGTCTATCAACTCCCACTACATCGCAGGAACGGTTACTTCAGCCCTCGATATATCCACCCTCAAACCATCATCATTCAGCTCCTCCAACATCGAAGGAAAGCGTACTGATAAAACGGTTGAGATATATAATGCGCCAGGTACACATACTCCAACAACACCACTCGGAAATGGAGTAAATATGTATAACTTAACTATTGATATGGTTGTGTTAGTGATTTTGTCTTTAATTCTGACTCTGATAGTCTTTGTTATTCATCGTATGAAAAGTATAATCAGCTATATCCATATGAAACAACAATTACCAAACGCGAGCGAGCTACGATCCGGGTTTGATGCATTTACTCACGATCGGGGTTCTTTATCTGATAATATGGAATGGGACGACACCGGGTTTAATGAATCTTACCATATATACGAAGAAGTCCGTGATAATGTTGAAAATACTTCGTTTTCGCAGGAATGATTGTAATCACACAATAAACAGCGCTATGTTACAGACGCAAAATAGTGATGGTCACTTTGTGGTGTTGATGTTTTATTAATCGCGGTCGGCGTAACAACAGCTATATGTTATCAACGCAATTCTACCGTGAGGATGTGTTATGTATGTATAATGAAACCAAAGTCACATCACCCGCTAAACTCAGGAATGGAATTGGATGATATAACTACTACTACTACCGTTTAAAGATAAGAATCGTAATCACCACCATCATCGCTGTATTGTTGGAGTGTTTAATCATACCACCCGTAATAAAAACGAACTTATACCAACATAATTGTCTTACAGGAATCGAGTCGTGGGTGCCGCAGGTTATGGTGGTGCTGGGATTTGGTTGGCTCATCATCGGTATATACTGTGCGTGGGTGTGTCGACACCGTTCCAAGTGTTGTTGGAGTAGACGAAGTTGTTGTCGTTGTAACACCGCAAATAATCTGCACGATATCGAAATTGATATTTTTGAAGTGAGTGGCGCCACAGGGTGCAACCTCGACTCTATACCGTTGATCGAACATCACCATGCTGAATAGGTATCACCACCACTGACGTGTGTGTGTGTCTGAGTGTATGTGTGTGTTTGTGTGTGCACACGTGAGAAGTATAATCACCATTATATACTTCTTCCAGCCCTGTTTGTTTATCTGGAGGACACGGTTCTGTGGATTGTTATGGGGTTTATGCTGTTTGCGAGGGAGAGAATAACCCATTTTGTGCTGGACGGGGTCATTCTACGCTTCCACCAACGCCAACATCAACAGCAACCTCAACAACAGCAACAGCAACCTCAACAACAGCAACAGCAACCTCAACAACAGCAACAACCTCAACAACAGCAACAACATCAACAACAGCAACAACCTCAACAACAGCAACAACCTCAACAACAGCAGCAACCTCAAAAGCAACCACAACTCCAAGAACCCCAACCTCCTCATCTCCGAGAACGTCATCATCAGTTCTATCATCAAGCACCCCCTCAACAACCACAACATCAACTCCCTCTTCAACAACCTCAACAACAACCACAGCGTTTGAGGCGATCCACCAGGTGTAGGAGAGCCCCCAACAGACTTACCTATTGACATTGTTTGTGATTGTCTATTCTTTGTAAATGTGGAGATGATTGGTTTGTAAAATGTGTGTGTGAGATAAATAATCATTGTGCATATTTTTTGTTTTTGTATTGCTTTGAGCCTTGTTTATTTAAACCAGGCGTCTATCGGTTGGGGATGGTAGTCAACACCACATCAACTTCTCACATAAATTCAACCACTTTAAGATGGGGGGTAACATCGCATCACGTGATTACTGAACTTCGAATAATAAGACTTGGTTATGTGATCTTTTGATGTGGTGTTGACTTGCCTCCCACCGCGTGATGAACAGAGTGGTTCAAATAACAACAAACTATTATGTAAAGTTGAGTCTTTATATAATATAATACACTTTCACACGCATACATACACAAACACAAACACACACGCACACAGAAGAATCTAAAGGTGCGTTCACACGTTGCAACTAGTTGTATAAAACTTGTGGCATGCAACAAATTTCACAGTGTGAACAGGGGAGTTGGACAGATTTTTGTTGCATGCAACAAGTTGCAAGCGAGTTGCAAGGAATAGAACTTGCTCTATTTCCATGCGACAAGTTGTACGGTTCTGGCCAATCAGATCGCGTTTCGTAGTCACGTGATATTTACGCAGACATCAAACATGGCGATACCACAACAACGGACGACACAACAACGCCGGAAAAATGTTAAAGAAAAAATTGACCTCAGCAACCATGACATTGAAAGGTTTATTTCATACTACCATTCCCACGAGTGTCTTTGGAATGTGTGTAGTTCGTTTTATTCAAAACGTGAACACAGACAGGCCGCCTACGTTTCCATTTCGAACTGATGAACGGTGTTATGACAGGTGAGTGACAGAAATATATTCGACGTGCTTCTATTTGATAAAGTAATCTTACTCCTTTGCTTAACAAATTTAGTATGACTTTACCTAAATTTGGTCATGAAGTATCGCCCACATTATCATCGAAGGCGAACCAGAGTCACGATCCATAATCTCGATCATTCATCTGAAGTTCGGATAGACGAGGTCTGGCTGTACAACCAAAACACAAACATTGAACCACAGCCTGCTATCAGTACAAATTTAGGCAATTTAGAAGCATTGTTGATGGTTTTTTGGTAAATACAACATATGTACAATATGAAAAGATCCATTTATAAAGGTTTCATTTTATTATAATAACGCAACATTTTACCGAAAACATTGACCGAGTATCTGTCAGTTTACGTGGTTCTCATAGAATGACCTATATTTGGTGAGGCTTTCAACCGGGGATAATTAGTTGGTCTTGAATATTTACATTAAATGTTTATTCTAAATTTATTTCTTGTTCATGTTTAATCATGTTAAGTAAATTGGTTTTAAATATGAACATAAGATAACTGGACATTCTTCTGACTGTTTTCAACCAATGATGACGTTTAGGCCTATAAATTTTCTATAAAAGACGTTTTCCTATTAAACTTAACTATTTTTGAGTATTAACATGATGTATGGCTCCAAACCCCCACCCCCACCCCAAAAAGTGAGACAAATCTGAATTTTAATCAACGATGAAAGCGCCTCACTCTTTTGGGCAAAAACTATACATGTATTATTTTAAAGTTTAACATTTTAGTGATATTTTTTATCAGTAGTAGTTGAGCATTACAGCAATATTCATTGGAACATCTACAGTATTTTACATTATCATGATTATTGGAGATCTGTCAGCATGGTCAGGGTAAAAAGTGAAAATATGCATATTTTTTAGGTTACACAAATGTTTGCATTAAAGTATACATTTATCATGATTATATGTCAAATGAAAATATTTTAATTTCATTTTTTCATTATAGCGGATCAGGTCCCAGTTAAGATTTCTGCTCTGCGGACCTACTATTGCAAGGAACTAAGGAAGGAAACCCTCTCCCGGAAAAGTGGGGCTGGTCGAGATGATATCTATGAGTCTACCACCTGGGAATGGTTTAAGCTGTTGGATCCTTTTCTTAGAAGCCAGGTTCATCAAAAAAAAACTTTAAGTAACTTGGTTAGTATTGTGAGAATGTAAACTTTTAATAAACCTTGTACATCCATTGGTATGGATAGATATATATTGCAAAATTTTATTAATTACATAAAACAACTTACGGTTGGCATTGACATAAGCTGAACATGAATAATTCAATAATTAGTGCCATTTTACTGTATTGGAATTGGAAAATAGCTGCAGGTATGGCTGAAAATAGCTTGTTCCATATGAACACTTCATTTGACTTCATGCATAGAATCAGACAATGTGATCCCACTGCCAATCAACTTGGCCATTAGAACAGAAATAATCTGCAAATTCTTCCCTAATCTGCCTTGCATTATCGGCACTCCTGTTGCCACCCTGTTGAAGTAGTGATTGGGGCCTGCTTCCATTATCCAGTGGAAAAACTTCTGTTTCTGTGTATTTTTTGTCTTTTGTTGTACACAGAAAGTTGTGTAGAGCAATACATGCAAGAACAACCTTTGTACATGTCTCTCAGCTGTTAATGATAAGCTCCTTTGAAATACTCCAAAGCGGTTGGTCAGTATACCAAAAGCATTTTCTGATACACGTCTGGCTCTGGAAAGTCTGTAACTGAATACTTTCCTTTCCATAACTAAGTCCCGGTGGGGATATGGCTTCATGATGTTATCTTTTTAGTGGAAAGGCATCGTCCCCAACAATCACATAGGGAGTATCAAGACATCTTCCAGGCAATGGCTTTGGACCTGGAATTTTCAAGGAGTTACTGTTCAGTGCCTGATACAGTGATGAATTGGCAAATATACCTGCATCACATGACCTACCATTTGCACCAACATCTACATACACAAATCTGTAGTTAGAATCAACAAGAGCTAGGAGTACAATGCTAAAAAGGTTTTTATAGTTGTAGTAGAGTGATCCTGATTTGGCAGGTGATTTTATAGATATATGCTTTCCATCCAAAGCACCAATACAGTGTGGAAACTGCCACTTCTCCTCAAATCCCTCTGCGACTTGCAGCCATTCTTCTTCTGACTGTGGCACCTGAAATCAATTTGAGATATTTTAAAAATATATTTTTCGAAATAATACCATATACTTACAATACCAACTTTATCTGACAGGAAACCAACACACTGTCAACTGAGCAGGATGGACCCAGTCAAGTGGAACAAGTGGCTCAAGAGGAGGAAAATGTGGAACCAGACAATGTGCAGGCTGAAACCATGGATTGTACTCCACCACCCCCATCTAAAAGAAAGCGACAGGACAGTGTTCCCCTCCAAGTTTTGGCTATTCTTAAGTCAATTGAAAACAGAAGATCACAAAGTGAAAATAATGGCGAACTATGTTTTGCCAAATATTTGGCATCAGAGATTGCCCGAGTTTCCAATCTAAGTAAAAGGAATGAATTGAAAATTAAAGTTCAACAACTTATTTTTGAATATCAAAATGAAGAATAAGATTTTATATGTATTATGCACATGCCATCTGTCCTTAATGATGACTCATTAAGATAATTATATGAAGCTCTTGACTTGAAATCCTAATATATGCAAAGAATATGTATTTCAGGTCAGCTGCAAAGCTTTTTCCCAAGACATTTGTCAGCCAGTTTAAATAATAAATCATAATTCATGTTATTAAGGCTTTTCTGTTGTACTTCAGTGTGAGTGGTGTTCAAATATCACTGGGAGGTGTGTTAGCTTTGTTACAGTAATTTATGTAGATTTTTTACACCAAGTGAAACAAACCGATTCATTACAAAGCCCTACAGGTGAAAAAATTATCTTATATAATATTATGTTTACACAAGAGTGCTTTGAGCTGATGAGTATGAATATTATTATTTCGATAAATCACATGGGATTTATTCCTTTTCCTCATAATGCTTGGACATCTGAAAAAAAGTCATGAAGTCATAATAACTTTTACACAGAACTACAGAAGTTAAACCTATAAGTAAATACAAATTGTGTTTCATTACAGCTTATTGATTTATTTAGTCATCGTTTAAACTTGGGGAAAAAATATCAAGAATTCAAGTGTTGACATGCACCTCACCTTCAGAAAGTCCTTCTTGAGAGTTTCATAAATTGCCACACACACTTGAGGGACGAAATTGCAAATTGTGTTCTTTGGTACCCGATACAAGAATTCTAGAGACTTGTAACTGTCACCTAAATAAAAAAAACACACAGATGATTCATTCTGAATAATCAAAAAGTTATTGAGCGTATACATGTGGCACACCTTCGGGAGCCTCATTCAACTCTTTACAGGGTTAGGGACAGCGGCTTTGCACTGAAGCATTTGGTGCTAACGCAGTCAGGAGTGGTTGGTTTATTTATAGATTGTCACGCTTATTGATAAACACAAAACAGCTGATCGACAAACAGTAGGTGATCTGTGAGATACATTAACTATAATTCATGAAATTATGACTGTTCATAGCCCTACCTGTGGCCAAATATCGAAGTGTGATGGCGAGTTTTTCTCCAGGGGGTATAGAATCACGCATGGGTGTATCAGCTTTGGTTATCATAGGTGACACTCTGCCCAGCAGTTGATCAAAACTCTCTCTGTCCATGCGTAAGAAATTGACAAAACTTTTTGTGTCCTCAGCTTCAAGTTCCCTCATTAAAGCTTTATAAGCTCCTAGATCACTTCTTCTTGCAATCCAGGGACGGACCCAGCACGAACGGTCGGCTTTGCCATGGTTAAAATCAACGAGCATTGCGACAACCGCCGCTTCCAGTACATCGTCATCACTATCGCTGTTGTATAGGGACGCCATGACCGTATGCTAGTTTCTACAGTGCGTTGCTAAGCAACATGTAAAACGAGATCTCACGATACCGAAAATTGTATACAACTTGGCCTGTGTGTGAACGCAACTCAAGACGTGCAACTTGTTGTATGCAACGTGTTGTAACAAACTAGTTGCAACGTGTGAACGCACCTTAAATCGAGCTTTCTTCTTCATCGCTCGAAACGATCACTTGCCGAGATCCATCCCTGCAATAGAATTAGAATATCGAGAATGCACACTTAAGTATCAGTTGACGGATTAAAAATAGGATTGTAAACTTCAATCAACACCACCTCGCATTACACCACGGTGTTGTTAGTGCTGAAGGAAATTGTCACACAGAACGGAGAACCGGAGTGTACATATATTGATTACAATACACGGTCACTGCGACTTACACTAAAGTTCATAACATCAACGCTAGAATAATATGTGATTACTACACCAACACAGCAATACGTAATAACTATACACAGTTACTACAACTACGTGTCATATGAACTCTTCAACCTCTAACCTCCGAGAACTAGTTAAAGAACTCTTTGTATAGTTTTTCTAGGTCTGTCTCGCGGGATATGTACACCGAGCTTGACCCGTTTGAATTCCGAAATCTGTCCAGAAAAGTGTAATAATTTTTCTGTAGTGTTTCTTGATATGCTTCAAACACGGATGAGTGGCTTTCTTCCTCTTCTCTGCCTCGAGCGTTTTTACGCTGTGTGCATAAAGATATCTCTGTGTCAATAAAAAATATGTACCGACACTTCCACTCCTTCAACGTTTCCGTGACAAGTAGTTGACAGAGCGCTCTTGGAGAATTATCATGTGCATAGAGATATAATACTCCGTCAGCATCGCACACAAAGCGGTGTTTATCACACCTACAACTTCCCACTAACCGGTTATGACGCCAAATCTACTGAGTTTTCCTCCCACCTCAACTATATATTTTCAAACGAACAACGATCTTTCAAGGTGAATGTGGCGTTTGGCATCATTTTGTCAAACATTGAAACCGGAGAATATAGATACTTCATCGCCTATAGAAATAACCAACTTTTTGAAAGACTGCAAGCTGTTAATGATTTCAGATCACTGCGCAGAGTAGTGAAAAAGATCAAGCGGAAAAGCGTTGATGATCACGTGCTGTCGCAGAGACCCAACAGCAAATGGATGCCGGTATTTGTGACTAATGTTGTATATTCTGTGTATTTGACGTCCTACTTTTTAGGGAAGAACGATCGGACTATTCCCTCGTGGTTATGGAAAAGAAATGTGTGTTATTGACAAGACAACGACACGATAAGTCTTTGTGCGCGTTTCGTTGTTTAGCTACCCCTTTAAAATTTGCAAAGAAGAAAGGATTACCCTCCGATATTAACCACGAAAAGAGGACTTTACAACTTTTTCGCAAGTGGACTTGAAATGTTAAAAAGAACAAAATTTACAAATCACCGAAAGACTTTCCTGGGCTTAAAGTTCCCGATGATGTGGCGGCGTTTGAGAGAGTGTTCAACGTTCGCGTGAATGTGTTCGCCTTAGAGGATTTTGGCTATTCGTGCACTCCATTATATTTGTCAACAAGAGAAACTCACACACCGGGTGTTACGGATTTAAACATGAATTGTTATGACGGTCACCTGTCCTACATAACAAACCTCAACACATACGCACGTCGTTATATGTGCAGACATTGTGATGCTTGTTTCAAGAGTTCTTCCGCCGCTCGACGACACTAAAAAAACCCGTGTTCAAAACGAACTCGTTTGAAATTACCAGGTGGTTATATGAAATCAAAGCAAACGGTTTTTTAACAGGTGCGGGATATGTGTGACATCAATATTCCTGAGGAAATTAGGTGTTACGATTTCTTCATCATGTTTGACATGGAAGCATTGTAACACCTTGTGGACACAAAAAACATCACCCGATATCGGTTAGTGTTTGTAGCAATGTTCCGGGTTATACAGAACCACGGTGTATGGTGTGTGCGGATATGCAGACTTTACTGAGTGATATGGTTGGTTACATGTCTCAGATAGCTGACGATTCTCGAAAACGAACGTAACACAAACTGCGCTCTGTTCTCGAGGAGCTTAACACCCGGATTTAAGACCTCGAACATTGAGCGGGAAGTGTTGAAACATCCGACCGCGTTAACATCGAACCACCCTCGAAGGCAATGTTAGATCGCCTGTCAAAACACAACGTTTACCACAAGCTACTGCAAAAAAGTAAGGGAGTCTGATGATATTAACCCCGAATACAATCAGTGGGAACAGCTGGAAGAAGAAGATGTGCGGGTGTCACCTACAACACCTCTCAGCAGAGGTGAATGGACAGAGGCGGATCAATTACACCTCAAACAATTGATTCAACTCTGCGAATCCGTATATTGCTACTGTCGACAGGTTCCAGTTTTGGGATTTAACTCATCTAACTACGACTTAAATCTCGTTAAATCCTACCTAGCACGTACCCTCGGGTTGGTTGGTACTCAATCCAACAACTTCATGGTCAAGCGAAACAACCAATACATCTGCATAACAACCGAAAAGTTTAGAATATTGGACCTTTCACAATATCTTCCACACGGAACTAGTTACGAAAACTTTTTGAAAACTATGAAAATCCGAAAGAGTAAAGGCTTCTTTCCCTACAACATTCTGGACGATGTTAAACAACTGGACGAACCTGGGCTTCCACCCGTCGACGCTTTCTGGTCGGACCTAAAAAAGACCAATACCTTATCGGATCCAAACAGAGGGGCTTACGACAAACTCCGACGAGAACAACCAACCAATAGCGAGGTGGATATACTCGCAACGCTGAAACTCGAACGAGTTCCTAACACGATTGAAGAAAATTATGCATACCTGCAGAAGGTCTGGAAAGAAAACAAAATGGAAACGTTAAAGGACTCGTTAGTGTGGTACAACAATATGGATGTCCAACCAGGTGTGGAGGCCATCTCTCGCCTCAAGGAGTTTTATTGGAAAGAAATAGGGGTAGATATTTTCAGTGAAGCCATCTCCATACCCGGTGTTGCTTGAAAACTTTTGTTCAAAACAGCCAAGGATTCTGGGTTGGGATTCGCTCTGTTCAATGAAAAGGACAGTGACTTACATGAGACTGTTAAGGAAAATATTTGCGGAGGTCCGTCTTTATTATTCACACGCTTCCATCGAATCGGTGAAACCTACTTGCGGGGTAATCCAAACAAGTGTTGTGGTAATCTCATCGGATTAGACAGCAACGCATTATACCTCTTCTGTTTAGGACAGGAGTTGCCAGTGGGGCGTTATATACGCTGGCTTCCCGCGAAAAACGGGGCGTTCACTCCAACAAAATGGTGTGAAAGATATACAGCTTCGTATGATTGGTTAGACTGGGTATCATACACCAAGAATATACAAATATCGCACAAGATGAACACTGGTTGTGAAAAACGCGTTGGGCCTTACTTGGTAGATTGATACGATCCAAACACGAAGACCTGTTTCGAATATTACGGGTGTTACTGGCATGGATGTGCAAAACCGGGTTGTTCGGTGTTTAAGCGAAATCGTTGTTCAACCTCAACACCAACGCAGCGATTGGAAAGAACTATATCACCAGAAAAGTACATCAGGGCAAGTGGTTACAACCTCGTTTCTGTGTGGGAATGTTACTTTTTTCGTATGCAAAAAGACAATCCAAATTTTTGGAATTTTTATAAATAAACAGCACCAGTTCTACATAGAGCATTGCAACAAATCCCCCATCAGCGCGGAATCATTATTGAAAAGTGTGGTTAATGGTGAATTTTTTGGGATGGTTGAGGTGGACATTCACGTCCCTCAACATCTTTATGAACACTTTTGAGAGATGTCTCTTTTGTTTGTCACGTGTAAAGTTCCACATTCCTCGATTGGTGAACACATGCAAAAAATATGTTTCGAAAAACTCCCTTTCCAAGAAGGATCGAGTTTTATTGGTTGGTGGGATGACGGCTCGTAAAGTGTTGTTAGCAACACCGTTGCTGAGGTGGTACATAAGACACTGTCTTACAGTCACAAAGGTTCGACAAGCGGTTGAATACGGGAGAAAGACGTGTTTCAAACCCTTCACGGACAAGGTGACCCACGCCCGGAGAATGGGAGACAACGACCCAGACCTGGCTTTGCTCGGGGAATGTTTTAAACTGATCGGCAATTCCGGATACGGAGGAATTCTGTTAGACAAATCAAAGTACCGAGAATGCGTCTACGTCGGGGGTGATGATGACGCTAGGTTGAACATAAATAACACACGTTTTATCTCGTTGTGTCAGTTAAATGATGAGGATTTCGAGGTCACTCGCACCAAAAAAACAATCACCTTAGACCTTCCGATTTTTTTAGGATTTATATTCTGCAGTATGCCAAGCAACGAATGTTGGAGTTTTACTACGACTTCCTCAAAGGTTTCGTGAGTAGAGCTGATTTTGAACTTTTGCAGATGGATACGGATTCTTTATACTTCGCGATTCACGGATCGTGGTTGAGCGATGTCGTAAAACCCGAAAACAGGAACGAGTATCAGCACATGATTGGTGGATTTTGCAATCAGGATGACATAGCAGCGGACGCTGTCATTCACTTTCTCCCGAGAGCGGGTTGGGAATCCTACGTAAAAGCGAGAGACAAAGAGAACTCCCGGATTGTTTAAACTGGGATCACAAAGGGTGTCAAATGATATCCCTTAATTCCAAGACATACGTTTTACAACAAGACAGTTCCGGCCAAAGCGTTAAAATAAGTTCAAAGGGACTGAGGAAACGCAACATTAGAAATCCTGTGGAAACGTATAAAGCTGTTCTCAGAGACCAACGAAGTCCTGGATCGGAAAACATCGGTTTCAGAGCAAAAGACAATACCGTGTTCACATACACACAACGACGCATGGGACTTTCCTACTTTTACTGTAAACGAGAGGTGAGAAAGGATGGAATATCCACCCGCCCTCTGAAACTGGTATTAAAACCCGCCAGTCGGAGGTGAGCGGGGGTATAATTGTATTATCACCAAACCTCCTCAACTGTGTTGTTTAATAATGATTCTATGATAAAGTCCTTAGGGTGTGTTGTTGATTATAATACTGAGTATTGAAGTGTGGGTGTGTAGTAATAAACACCAATCATATTTATAATATA